GTATTTTCAACTCCTAAACGTTTTTATTGCATTGGGTAGGAAATTTCAGTTGTAATTTCATCTTAAACAACCCTATAAATCAAACCCAACACATGCAAAAGTGCATTGTTGCGGATTGTGGCAGTGTTTGGTATTTCAAGAATAACTTTCAAATACGACCTCCAATTGAGCTGATTCAAGTGGACTTAGATATCTAATTTCAAAATCTGCAACTTTCGTGAAATGCAAAATTGTCAAATTTGGGCTAAAAAGTGGTGAAAACAGTGTTTGAAGTAGACGCAGAAGCCCAGATTGCGATCCAGCCTTCCTGTATCGCGATCTGGGGGTCTTACAAAAGGCATTTTTTATCAGGACCCAGATCGCGAGCCAACCTTCTTGTATCGCGATCTGGGGGTCTCACACAAGGTTTTTTGATCAAGAACCAGATCGCAATCCACTATTCCCGTATCGCGATCTGGAAAGGCGGTACGCAGTTTCCAAGGCTGCCATATCGCGATCCAAGAAGCCCAGACCATATATTTTTCTTTGTTTTCTTACTATAAATAGAAGGTCTGCTTTTTCATTTTTAAAGCTCTCGACCTCTTCTTCGATTTTTCGTCGGTTTTCGCCAGTTCTTCACGGGAAGCTTCGACTCGGGTTTTTTCATAAGCTTTTCTTTACGTTTAGTTTTTGATTTCTCGTGTTATTCATTTTGATGCTATGTTTCTAATGAAGTGAGCATTTTTTTAGGGAAATGAAACCTTGTATATATTGATATTGATTTACAGTTCTCTGATCTATTTGTTGTTCTTTGATTCTGTTTATGTTTTCCTGTATTAAATGCTTTCGATTGTTTGGCCAACAGTTGAATTGATTGTAAATGGGGATGAACTCGAGAGAGGATTTCTCGTTTGATTTTAGGAAAACATAGCTCGAGTTGTAGAAACGGAGACGTGATGCACCTCGGGTAGCCCTTAAGGACTTGACCTAAATGCTCTCTTAATATCAGGTTCTGAACGGAGACGTCGGACTTGTGGGTAGAATCTAACTACACCGAAGACAGGGGTTAGGGTATTTTAGTGTATGAGTTAGCGAATATAGAATTGATATTAGATTCGGATTTGTAGATCTTTATCAATAGCACACCGGTGGATTTTACCCTAGAAGCCATAACACGCCGGAATTCCTCGCTTGTCTTGGCGGACCGTTGTTTTTATTTATTGTTTCTTTTTAGTTTCATTTATCCCATTCTTTCGTTTGTCTAAAATTTCGGGATAAATAGATTGCTCTAAAAACCTATAATCTTCTATTGTATATTCCGGATTAGTAATTCTTCTACAAGAGTGGACTTGTACTTGAAGTAATCTAAATTTACAATCGAGAAACTTAGAAAAAAAGAAGAAGAGACAATTTCTTCTCTTGAACGTGAATAGGCGTGTACTCATCATTGTCTCTCTCATCAACATAATCTCTATTATATATAGCACAAGGAATTAGAGTCACACATTAATTCTAATATATAATATTGGTTGAACTTTATCTTCTCGATTAATTAGAAAATCCATTGGGCTACAATAGGGATTATAGGAGAAAATATAAATCGGACAACTAATAATTAATTAAATCCAAACTCTTAAAATAATTTATTTCATTAATCATTAAATATTTATTTATTTTCCACTACCAAATAGTTATTGAACTCCCGTTTATATTCTCAAATATTACATTCGAGCTCCGATCGATCATTACTTAAATTCTCCCCACATTAAGATATTTTATAACCATCAAATAATTTATCACTGCTAAATAAATTAAATGGTGTATTTTCATGAGTCTTACCCGCTTATAACTTATTTGAGTATGTCGGATACGAAATCCACCTGGCCAGGACTTGGCATAAATAAATCTTATAAGCTACTCAAGGGTTATTATCAATCTCATATTTCAGAGATGTGGATTCCTTTCGATAATTAATTTCCACATATTAATTCTTAATGTATGTACCCAACGCACCGGAGACCATTTGACTCAATATAGGAATTTCTCCCACTATGACATCAAAGTAGAGATCATCAATTAAATATGTAGGTTAATTATCTAGGGATTAAGAGATTAAGTAACTTAATGTCAACTAGAAATAATACAGTTTCATTTTGAACAGTGATGAAATAATTATTTCACTTTGTCCGGTTCAACACATGTCGGGTGTGCTAGCATAATAAGTCAAAACAATAACTATAAAAGTTATTCTCTTTTTACTGAGATCAAGACCAATCATTTAAATATTGTGCTACAATATTTTACCAATGGATCGTCCATTTCCATCTAGATTGTGAACGTTTATCTTTGTATTCTAAACGAACTTTCAAAATTGATATTTATGTGCGCCGTAGCACACTATTTCGAATACTATTAGAATATTAGACTAATGCTTTTAATTAATTGACAAACAATCAATTAAATGCATTGAATACCCTAGTGAAAATTCTCATAAAATGGTACGAAACTATTTTATTGATTCAATAATAAAAATGTAGCTAAAAGCGAGACTTTTAGTCTGCTATCCTAACATATGTCACAGTCACAAACCACATCCAACCATCTTATATGAAGACAACGAGGTATTTACATATTTTCGTATGAATGATGAGGTTGAGCACCTTGAGGGAATTATCCATCCCAGTTCTGTAGATACTTTTGCGCGTGATGAGAGTGGATGAAGATGATGGTAGAGGAACTTTACGAACAAAATCATATCCACATTGCTACTCCGGATTTGAGTGTGAGCCAGGACACAAGTTTGAAATTTGAGGTAGAGCTTACTCCAAAGCTTGAATATCTTATGTACAAGTTTGAGTGATCGGTAGGCAAGCAACCCATTCCAGTCTCCTACCGACTAATTTCCAAAGCAAACGAGAAGTTCCATGGGATGGAATGAGCACTATATGATTGCAATCTTTTCCATGATACGATTGCAAAGTATGTGTCAAGATTGATGGATGGATGCGCAATTTACAAGGTTTTGGATTGGACATAATCCGTCCAAATTGTGTCGAGCCGTCGACGGTAAAACATGCGTTGAATGGGAGATAACCCATTATTTATTTCTCGTCATTTTTTTCTTCTTTGTTTTTGTCATTTTTTGCATTTTGTTTTTTTGGTTTAAAGCTAAATTTCACCAATTTTTCTTGATTTTTATCGGTATCTCGTCCGCAAGGAAAGAAGAGTAAGAAGTCGGGAAGTCTAGACAACTCCGGCAATTCGCCCTCGGTGCCAAAATCCACGGCACCCTGTGCAACCAAAGAGCACTTTCGCAACCGTATAACACTGATCAATCTGCGGCACGACTGTTCATGGCCTATTTCTTTCTCATATCTTTTATTTTTCGCATTGAGGGCAATTCATAAATTTAAGTTTGGGGTGTGTTTAGCTTATTCTCTTTTTGGTCTTTTGCATGCATATCATATAATTTAGTTTCATTTATGTATTTTGATTTCCGTATTGGTGTTATGTTTGTCACATGCATTTATATAGGATCGAGTGTAAGTTGCATTTTCGGATTCTATTGAAGCAGAGCAGTTAATGAATTAGTAGACTTGCTAGTTGATTTTAAAATTAAGGTTGTGCATAGTCGGCAATTAATAAATGAACCTTCCGACTGCGTTTCTACAACTTGTTTTGAGAGCCTTTCGAATATTTTACGATTAAGCATGAGCACACTTTTCTGAAGGGTATAATAGTCTGAGGTTTGGGGGTGAGTAAGAATTGAACTATGGTTTATGGGTGAAAAAAACAAATATTTAAAACATTATTCAATACAGTAAACTGCAAAATGTACCCTTGTGTAATCTCTAAATAGCAAAAACCCCCATGTGATAAATAAACTAGCAAAAACCCCCATGTGAAATTTAGTCAAAGGCAAAACCCCACCGGTTGACTTGTGTGTGGCTCACTCGCGGGTTGCGCGACTGGGAGTTGGTTTTTGGACATGAAATAACGAAATTGACCTTTAAAATGTATTTATATGTATATATATTATATGTATATATTTTTCTTTTTAATTTGGTTGTTTAGAAATTAAAATATTGTTAAAAAATAGTAAATAATTAAATTGAAATTTTTTTATAAATTTGTTAATCAAATTAAGTATATATTTTTTTAAATACATAATAATGAAATTTAAGTTTTCTTTTGATGTATTTAAAATATATTAAAAAATTATGTGATAATAAAAATAGAAATAAATTTAGAAACCCCATTGTACCTTTATAACTAAGATTTAACAAAGATAAAATAATTAAAATATTTAAAAAATATAAGAATTTATTAATTGCAAAATCCCAGGGATATTTGGGTCTTTTATTTGAAGTCAACCCTCAAATGAGTAATGAGTCTGTGTGCTATTTAAATAATTTCACAGGGGGTGTTTTTTCTAGTTTATTTATCATAGGGAGATTTTTGCTATTTAGAAATTACACAGGAATACTTTTTAGAGTTTACTCTTATTCAATATAGGGTAAATTACACCCACACCCCTGAGGTATGCTTAAATAACTTTAAGATTCATGTGGTATCGATAATTACACTCACCCCTTGAAACGTAGTTATAAACACTAATGGGATAATTCATCGGATACGTTATAACAATAGAGTTCTAACGGACTATTGGTTTCAGAAACTGATGGAGACACAAAGAGTTATGGGTGATTTAAGAAATATTGATGGAGCTATGTCACCCCATAACTCCCCATAACTCTATATTATCTCCACCACTAGCTAAAAATAATAGTCCATTAGAACCCTATCGGAATAATGTATTCAATGCATTTTCTAACTATGTTTCAGAGGTGAGTGTAATTATTGATACCATAGGAACCTTAAAATTATTTAAGCATACCCCAGAGGTGTGGGTGTAATTTACCCCTCAATATAAAGAATCTGAAAAGATTAGGTCGGGTTAATTTTTCAAATTTTCTATTCTTGGAGAACAAGCTAGCACTCTCGGTCTTACTTAACAAGCACCCAATTCCTTTCCGTCAAAATTCCGTCGAAATTTCTTCTCAATTCCGTCAAAATTTGTTGAAAAAACCCTATCAAAATCGAAACAATGAATTTCCTAAGACAAAATTCTGTGAACAAGCTGCGAATCCTCGCCCAAATCGGCAGCCGTGCGATCACAACCGCTCCGCCGCCGCTTGTTTCTGCACATCAGCCCGCTCACCCGGTTGCCATCGCTATCCGACTCACCGACCAGCCGGCCGACCCTATCACTAGGTATTACTTGTATTTCCTTTATTTTATTTTTTTTGGGTTTCGGAATTTGTTATAGTGCATTTATTTTTAATTTTTTTTACTTGATTGATTACTTTTTGTGTGCTAATTTGTTGATTATTGATGCTAATTGCTAAATGACTGATAAGTGGTACTGTGTTCATATAACACTCTTGTGAGCAACTAATTTTTGCTCTTTTTACCTTTTGATTTGATTTTTTGATTTGGTTTTTGTGCGCGAAAGGAAAATAAAAAAATTGTTAAAGATAGCTTTGAACGGCTATCTTTAATTTAAAATTTTATATCGATTATGATTCGTAGTAATTTCATTAACGATATGACTTTCTTGAAGGTATGATATCTCGCCGCCGGTAAATTGGGGATATCTGACTGTGTCAGATATGAACACTTGCATTATCGAGCGATTTGGCAAGTACGCAAAGACATTAACTAAAGGAGCCCATTATCTGATTCCGTTTGTTGATAGAATTGCTTACGTGCATTCTCTGAAAGAACAAGCACTTTGTTTTCCTTATCAACATGCTATTACCAAGGACAATGTCTTAATTGTATTTGATGGAATCATGTATGTCAAGGTATGTGTCAATTTTTCATTTTAAAATTTGCCTAAATGATTTTCTTTTTGAATGACCCTATTCGAAATGTATTATTTAGTATTAATATCTCAAATACGCCTCGTGAATTACATTTGAAGTCTTGCACTTAAAATATTTGAAATGAGTGGTGGTGGGATTCGAACTCAACACCTTCTATTTGGTCTGCCTCTCATATCATGTTAAATGATACATTTCACTAACAACATAAGATTATGTTAAAATGATACATTTCACTAACAACTTAAGATTTTGATTGAGATGATCATTCAAAGTGGTATTAGAGCCAGATCAAATGAAAGGTCCTAGGTTCAAATGTGTCACCCATTTCAAGTGCAAGACTTCAAATGTAATTAGTTGCACTTGAAGGGACGTATTTGAGATATTAGTATTGAATGATACATTTCAATAAAAGCTTAAGCTTTTGGCTGAGGTGGTCATTTAACACCATAGTAGTTAAACTCGCGAGATACCGCGATATGTATCGTCGGTCCCAATCAAAACGATACAACTCATGGTCTGTATCGTTTGTGCATAAATATCGCGAGATATCGTATCGTATCGCCATATCCGATATTTACGATATTAATCAAAATATTAGGAAAAAAAAATAAAAAGTAAAAGAAAAAAGAAGAAAACTAAATATTCACATAATCAGGATGTGAAAACGGATTTCAATATGATTTAATATTCTTTTTTTACATATATTATGTCCAGAAATGTAAACTTCAAGTTTGATATTGAGATATTGATAAGAGAAAAAAGGGAACAAAATTGAAGTGATGAAGTTGAAATGGAACATGAGGAATAGGGATTTAAATGAAATTTTTTACCCGTTTATAATATTTTTATTATGTAGTTATATATATTTTATTACTTTTAATAGTTGGTTAAATATTTACGATACGAAAAACGATACGATACACATACAAAAACGATACGCCGATATTTTCCGATTCAATAACCATGTTTAACACTTTTAAATAAACATTGACATCTTTTTTTTTTTCGTGTTCTGAAGATCGTTGACCCTCTGTTAGCTTCTTATGGAGTTCTGAATCCATTGAATTCTGCAATTCAACTTGCGATTGTAGTTGTGCAAACTGAGATTGGTAAGATCGTTGGCAAGAATATATATGTGGAATATAGCACACTCCACGAGAAGACAATGGTGAGTATTTGATGCTTGGTGTTACTAGTTAGCTAGCTGATTTTATCTATTTTTTAAACTTTAATATACATGAGTTTATTTGCATGCATGATATTTCCGTTTCATTTGTTGCAGATTTCAATCAATAAAGTTATTAAAGATTGGGGCTTAGAGTGCATTCGTTGTGAAATAAGTGAGTTTATTTTTATGAAAAGAAATATTCCTTTGTTTGATTGGTTAATCTATCTATCGTTGAGGGTTTATGTTTGTTGTCTTATATGCATCTTTGTTTTACTTCTTCTCCAAATTCAGTGTCGATGGAGAAGGTGACAATGGAGACAGAGGCTGGTAAAGTCTTATCTGATGGTAATGGGTTCGTTTCCTGCTACTTATGTTGTTAGTTTGCATTTTTCGTTCATTGTAATGGAAGCTCGCATGCAGGATATAAAATTCTTTTTCAAGCCTAACGTGTGTCAACTTTGAATTTGGATAACGCGATTTATATGAAAACTTGTAGAATGACAACTCTGTTCGGAATTTATTCTTTTAAACATGTGGAATTACATTATAATAGAAGATTTCGTTGTTGTCGTAAGATCCATACAAGTCTATGTGGGTATAGAGGGGAGGTTCTTCACCTCTTTATCTATTTATATACTTACGTACTTGTACGATGTCTTGTATTTGCAGGTTGCTGGTTTAAAAACTGTCGAGGACCGTGTTGACTTTTTCAAGAAAATTGAGCTTCTTAAGGGCATCTCCAAAGTGGAGAGTTAAAACCACGGATGCTATATCTATTCTGGCTCTTCAATAGTGTTATAGCAACTCAATTTTTACTATCTTCTCCAACCATATCATTTATATTTTAGCATTTTATTATATTTTATTAATTTTCAACTATTCTATTATAATAGTTGTGTGTAATTAATTTTTTTTCCCCTTATATATGTACAATAGAAAATAAACAATTAAACAAAAATTAAATAAATAATTAATATATATATATATTCTACAAATAGTTTTAATCGAATTTACATACATCAAACATACTTAATATAAGAAAATTCAAGTTTAAATAACCATAAAAAAAGAAAAAAATGACGTAAATTAAAAATACAAAATACACTTAATTTATTTTGGTTTTCACTATCACTTTAGGTCCGTAATTTATTTATTTGACTTTAATTATTACCATTGTTTGTGGGATGGTGGGGTTATGTAATATTTTAATGTTTTTGTCATATACGGTATACCATACGTGAATAGTAGCAGGTATATATACCAGCTCCATCTTAGGTTTTAGCTGGTGAGCAATATTATAGCTCTCCCGCTGGAGCATGAATTTTAGTTCATAAACGGTAAAATTGTAAAATTATAGCATTTAGCACTCCAAACACCACATGATTGGAGATGCTCTAATATGTGCTTTGCTTTTTAATCTGAAAACGCTTCAATTTTAGTATTTTACAATCGATAAGTATCCTAGAAATAGGATAAACTTTGATTTGTTGAAAAAGCAATTAAATTAGCCACCAAAATAGTACAAACATTAGGTGATTGTCAGCTATATACAATTCGAATAATTTTTATACTTAAAAGGGTTAAATACAAAAACACCCCTGTACTATGAACTTTGTATCATATATCCCTGTATTACATATAAATACAAAAACTTCCCTGTTGTTATATTTTTTTCCAAAATCTGACAAAAATACCCCTGCTAAAATTATAAATGTATGGGTTTGTTTGAGTCATTTTCCACTATATTTTTTAACATTTTCGGTCAATTTTACTTGGGAAATTTTGATATTTTGATATTTTTCTTCAAAACCTTTAATTACATAGATTTTTTTTTTAATTTCCTGAATAAAACCTTTTACTTTTATGATTTTGAATTTATTCATTTTTTTCTTAAATGTCTTCCGGTACGTTTTGTGTAAACTTGTACGAAACATACAACATAAACAGTTTACTGTATGTTTTGTACTAGTTTATACGGCATATGAGTCAACATTTCATAGTGTTTTGTACAAAATTATTGGTAAACATGTATATGATGTTAATTTCATACAGAACACCATGAAATCCATTGAAGAATTTCGTGATATTGTACACGAAAAGACTAAAATCGAAAAAAATATAAGACAAAAACGTAAATTTTTACCTCATTAACGGGATCGATGTTGGTCATCTTGATAATTGTTGGGTTCTAACTGATTGTAACGAAAACAAATCACGATCTACAAAAGTCGGTATATTTAGAGGTTGAAAGGATTTCGAAAAAGGTTAAATGATTTCTAGACAAATGAATTATTTCGCGAACACCTTTTGATTGACGGAATCAATTATTAAGCTTAGGTTTCCACTGTCCAAACCTAGATCGAGAGACTCGTTTTTGAGCTTGCTTGCGCTGCATTCTTCTGAGTCTCAAACTGCCTCCGAATTTGTCTTCTCTAGTCAACTCGTCACCTACCACATTGCATGAGGTCCCTTCATCGGCCTGCGAATCAATATGTAACGATCGAACATCTCTTCATCGCAAACTTTTCATTAGCAACCTTAGCCTATTCGGGATTTTTCCTTAGCGGTTTGTTGTCCCAATTTCATCCCTCCACTTTTTATCCTTTGATATTTGGCCCAATGGATTCATTCATTCATCTTTAGCATATTGGCCCGACCTTGCCAAATTAGGCCCTCATCAACACTAATATCACCATACACTAGTCGTATTCAATCAACGGCGATTTCGGGCTCCACTAGCTTAGCTGAAGAATTCTCAAGGAATTAAAAAAATAAAATTTGCTATTAATTAAAAACGTGACAAGTCACGCTTTTCAACGTAAAATTGTTTGGAATTGTTTTGAGAGTTATTTTTGTAGAATTATGAAGAATCACAGAGAATTCATTTTGAGTTTTTAGAGAAAAAGAGCAGTTGTATTTCATTGAAGAAGAATTTGTTACATGGAAAAAAACTCAATGAGCTGAATTTAATATTTATACATGTGGACAAATAAATGAAAAATTGCTATAGCTTATACAGTTATACACATGGTTGTCAAATCGTAAATCGAATCGAAAATCGTTTTGTCAAATTTGCGAATCGTAAATCGTAAGATTTATTAAATTTCATTAAAATATTAATATATTAAATAATGTACACATATTTATGAGACATTGTATAATATTAACAACAATATATATATATATATATATATATATATATATATATATATATATATATATATATATATATTGTTGCATAGAAATCTACAATTAAACTACAAGGTTATATGATTAATATGCTAATATTTAAAATTTTATAGTAAATGGACTATACAAAAATTTAACACAATAAAAACAAAAAGTTTAATATCAAAAGAATTTCATTTAATTTGTAGTATTTGTCAATGCATGGCAATTGACGTGTGTCCGAGTAAATCAAATATAACATTGAAAAAAAATAAGAATAAAACTCTCTTGAATATACCTGCTACTTTATAATGTTATTAGAGTTGCAAAGTACAATAAAAATATTATTAATTTAAAAAAAATACAATTGCAGATGAACAATATCAAAAGAAGAAAAAATAGTCATTATAAGATGTAAAGTGTTGGTATTACGAGGAATTATCATATATTATATTATTTGTACTTCAAATCTAATATTTTAGCACAATTTTTAATTTTATTCTGAAAATATATTTTTTTGCTGAAAATTGTCCAAATCGTAAAAATCGTAAAAATCGTACAAATCGAATCGTAAATCGTACAAATCGAATGCAAATCGTACGATTTTTTAAGATTTACGATTTATTCAACGATTTGAATCGTGAAGGATTCAAATCGAATCGAATCGTACGATTCAAATCGTAAATCGTACGATTTTGATAACAATGGTTATACATACTAGCAACATAAAAAGGATAATTATAGGAACTTAGACGCAATATCTAATATTTTTCAATTTTTTTTGGCGATATATGTTTTGAGAGTGAAACTAATATTTATTTATTATCTGAGGGAAACAAAATACGCTGTGACAATCAAATTATATTTAAATGTATGTTGGAAAACGTATTTTATAAGAAGAGTATGAACAAAAAATAATGTTTTTTTGTTTTTTGTCAATATGTTTTTTAGGGTTACAGTCAAATCTTTCTATTGTAACAGTTAAATTATGTGTAGAGGACAGATAAACTTTTCAAATTGTAATGATAATTATTTTTGAAACGCTAAACAAGAGTGGAGAAAAAAAATGGAATGGAAACGGAAAACAAATGTAATTGATATTAATTAATAATATTAATAAGGGTACATTACAATCCCCTGAGGTATAGTTAAGTTACGAAAACCTCTTTCTGTTTGGGTAATTACAATCACCCATCAACTATAAATTTTCTTACAGGTCCAGTCTCGATTTCAAATTTAGTGGAATTTTCAAGATTATATTGAATATTATTACTTTTGTACCCGTTTTATCCCATTCGAACTCTATATTTTGAAGTAAGATGATCATAATATGTGTTTTTTGACTTGTATATATTAGATTGTGGTGCATCGGAAACTATATTCAACACAAAATGAGTACAAACTAGAGCATATTTCACGAAATCTAGATGATTATTGTTGAATTTGACACCATAAAGAGCAAGAAAAAAACATAGTTGAGGGGTAGATATAATTATACAAACAAATGATTTTTTTCATAAATTGTTGTAATTTACCCTATGCTTGTGGCTATATGCAATACTAATTCCACTTGTGCAAGACCAAATTAAAGAAAGATTCCAAAAGATTCAATTTTATTAAGATGAAATGACAAATATACCCATAAATTAAATTGGCTTTTGTTGCTCATGCAAGACCAAATAACAAATAATGGGGAAAAAAACAAAACCGATACTAATAGAAGAAAACAAAGAAAACGTGAAATTAAAAAAACCCAGCCCCACTCCACTGTGAAACTCTACCCTACACCCAAGCTCCCCCGCCAAAGCTCCGCCGCCAACCGCCGCACTTGATGCGACGTTCTTGATGTCGTGTACAAATTTTTGAAACCTTCGGTGAATTTGGACAATAAACTTCGTCTTAGCATTCGCCTTTTGCTATAAAAAAATAAAATGAATATTGAAATAAAACGTAATTAGAAAATAGAAAGTTAAAAGAATATGAAACAACTAAATTTCGACATTAATGTGTTGAATATATGTCCATAAATCGACACCTTAATGTCGAAATTTAATATATTTGGACTAATTCGCTAATAGCTAAATTTCGACACTAAGGTGTCGATATTGTACTCCAAAATTGACATCTCAATGTCGATTTTTACTTATAAAATTCGACCTGTACATGTCGACCGTGTCTGTGCGAGATTGTTCTTTGAAAAAAATGATATTCTAGCTAAAAAACACATAAATGCATATTTTCTTGGGTTCTTCCACCGTAGAATCTTCTATTTTGGTGTCTTCTTACTACATACTTGTCATCTTTGTAAGATTTGTTGAGTTTTAATGAATATGAATGTTTAGGTTGTGGGTTTATGAAGCATGAAGAAGAAAGGTTTTGGGGGTTTTGGAAGATGGAGAAGATGAGAGTTGGTCTTGTGGTTTTGTGATAGAATTTTTTTGTATTTTTGAGTTTTTAGTATTGCACATTTGGAATGTTCTATTTTTTTAACAAGTAAGGATATTATAGTATATATACATTGAAAATTTTAATTTAATCTTGCACAACTGGAATTAGTTTTGCATATAGCCGCATGCTTACTCTATTAATCATTAAAGATCAACAGATGTGGCTTTTAATTTCAAAGTTGGGCCTGAGCCCATAAATGAAAGAAGGCTAGATTAATCAGCCAATTAAATAAAAAATGTCTGGGGCCCATCTCTTCGAACATGCATTTTTCTTTATTTAATTTAACACATATAAAGTTCAGCTCGAAATAAAAAAGTCAGTAGTAATAATTAATAAATGTGTTTGTAAATTGTAAATAACGAATAATTCTTTAATGTAAAAATTTAAAATTCTACTACATTGATCACTTACACTAATATTTATATAAATCAAAACAGACACGCAAACGAGATCGCGGATATTCAACACTATATATATATATATATATATATATATATATATATATATATATATATATATTGCAATTTATTGATTACTAACCATGGCTTCTCCAAAAAATAACATATATTTAATTTAATTAAATAAAATATATTACACTTCAAACAATTAATGTGAGAATAACAACTAACAAAAAAAAAGAAGCAGAGTTGATGATACAAATGTTCAGTTTTCACCTGCGTCTACTCCGGAGATCTCATCACAGTCACACGATTTATACATTCCGCAAGACGATATTTAAATAAATAATACACGACGAGGCAGTAAGTAGTAGTACAATATTAATTTCATCTCAAGAAAAAAATAATAATAATAAATTACTTTAAAAATAAAATTTATATATGTAGTAATAATAATATTAATGAATGTAATGATCAAGAAGAAGAGGATGTTGGTGCTGCAAGTTTGGCTCTCAAATCTTTCCTCAAAATTTTACCAGCTGGTGATTTCGGAATTGCATGAACAAAGTACACTTTGTGCAATCTCTTGTAGAACACCACTTGTTTCGACACAAATTCTTTTACCGTTTCTTCCGTTAGTTCGAACCCATTCGACGGGACCACAAACGCCACTGGTACTTCACCCGCGGCCTCATCTTTTTGCCTGTTTCATTTAAAAACATTCAAATTTAATTTCATCTATCGATAAAATCGACTTTTTTTTAAAGAAAAAAAGAATATTTTAATGAACTTACGGGACAACTGCGGCATCAGCAATATTCGGGTGGCTTATGAGAAGAGCCTCCAGCTCAGCTGGTGGCACCTGCTCGAAGAAAATAAAAGTTAGTAAAAATTTGATTAATTAATCTGAATTCTTAACAAAAATAGAAATAAAAAAATCCCTCCAAATTAAATTGGGTAAATTAATTAATTAATTAATTACCTGAAAGCCTTTGAATTTGATGAGTTCTTTAACTCTATCTACAATGAAAACATCATCATCATCATCTACGAAGCCAATGTCGCCGGTGTGTAGCCATCCATCCACGTCGATGGTTCTAGCGGTGGCCTCATCGTCGTTCAAATACCCTGAAACACAATATTATTTATATTAATTACAAATTATATATAAATTTTCGAATAACGTTATAAATTAAAATAGACGAACAATGTATTAATTAATAATAATTAAATGTATGTAGTACAGTACCTTTCATGATTTGAGGTCCACGTATGCAAATTTCACCGGGCTGGTTGCGAGGGAGAGAGCAGCCAGTTTCCGGGTCGACCACTTTGAGCTCAGCATTACGAACCACATTGCCACACGAGCCTGATTTCGTGGGTAATGGCTGCTTCGCGAAAGAAGGGGACATAGATAACACGGGACCCGCCTCGGTCATGCCATAACCCTACATACAACAACAATTACAAGCACTATTTTAAATTAGTAACTTAGTTTAAATGTATGCAATTAATTAATTATCTATTTTGGTGAGAATAAGAGATGAAAGTAGTGGGATTTAAACTTATTTTGCATAGTTTGGATGAGATACATTATATACAAAAAGACAATTGTTGTCGTTAAACGCAAAATTATCCCAGTAGGTCTTAAGTTTTGAAGACAAATTAGTCAAATGTGACATGAGTTGCAATTTTTTTTTATTTCATGAAAATATTTAAAATCAAACCAAGAATTTGATTTCATTAGAAAAAAAAAAAAACAACAATTATACTTTTCAATTTTATGCGTTGCATGAGTGACAAATAATAAATTGAAGTTAAGAATTTGATATCACTTGCAAAGATAATAAGCATAAACGTGGAATCCTCACATAAGATAACCGAAAAGTTAACGAAAATTTGGATGAAGGGGAAATGTTCCAAAATATCAAATATTACGCGTTTGGTTGTCGATCTACCAAAATCGAGTGTATGGTGATGCAAATTACCTAATTCTTTAATTAAGTCTAAAAGAGTGATACAGTAAACCTCGACTCGGTGAAAATGAATTATATTATATGTTCAATAATTTAATATTTCGTTAAATTAATAAAAACAAAAATTAGTTCCGACCGCATTAATTTATAGTTACTAGGTCTTAATTTGAAGGAAATAATTTTGGAAATGAGAGTATTTCATTAAATGTAATATTTGGTCTTATTCATATATATTTAATGCAATTTATAACCGGATCTACTGTTGGATCCCGTGATTATTTTATTGCCATTAAATTTTAGTGTTTGTTAGGTAAAAGTCAACCATGAAAGTTGTTGGCCCCGTGGACAGTTTGCTAACCAAACACAACTTTTCCTATCAATTGGGGCTGCCATAAACTTATACTATAATTGAAATCTCCTAATTGGTACACCAAAATAAATGTATTATATATGTCAAAAATATTCGTATATAAAAACATATAACTTAATTAAATTAACTTTTATAAGTTATTAAAATAAATAAATTGGTGGCCCGATTACTTTGTACCATGAAGATTTCCACATTCGGCCTTTTCAAATCGTTAAAAGTTTAAAACAACCCACCTACCTCCACGCTCCACCTACTCGAGCTTTCTTTTATTTTTTTATATATAAAATGATAAATAATAACACAAGTATAATTGGTGTGCGCGGCCATCACATGTCATCATAAATGCTCTCTAGATTGAAAATTAGATTTTACATATGATTATTTACTTTTACGTCCCTCATTATTTACGCTGGGTGGTTGTTAATCGTGAATTTTACTGTATAAATGTTGTCTATACGAAAAATTAGATTTTACACATGATTATTTATGTTTATGTCCCTGATTATTTACGTTGGGTACTATATTAACATTACTCCTATTAAAAAATAATTAACTAAATAAAGGATTGAAATATGATCATTGAATTTGGAAATTTAATTAAAAGTAAAGTAAACTAAATTGAGTTTCGGATTTTGTGGAATGATTTTACTGTAATTATTTTATTTTTGGGTACGAATAACTAATTTGAAGAGCATTTAAATGGCATGAAATTTTGTTAGGTTAGTTGGTTGGTTGCACTTTCGAAAATCCGGGAACGGATAAAGTGAAGCGTACCTGTCCGAAAACCGCCTGCGGCACGCGGCTGAGGAGCGCCGCCTCAAGGTCCTTCCCCAGCGGCGCCGCCCCGGACAACACCATTCTAATCGAGCTCAAATCGAACTTATCCACCATCGGATTCTTCGCCAACGCCAAAACCAGCGGCGGCACCACCGCCGCCACCGTCACACGGTGCTTCTGAATCAGCTCCAGCAGCGAGCCGATCTCGAATTTCGGCATCAGCAGAATCCCCGCCCCCGCCCTAAGCGAACACAGCAGCACGGAATTCAACGAGTAGATATGAAATAACGGCAGAACGCACAGAACGACGTCGTCGGACTTCAGGTGCAAATTAGGGTTCTCGCCGTCGACTTGCTGCGCGACGCTCGTGATCAGGCTTCTGTGAGTCAAAACCACTCCCTTCGGCAATCCGGTGGTGCCGGAGGAAAACGGCAGCGCGACGGCGTCGCTCGGATCGATCTCCACCGCCGGCGCGTCGTCCTCGTTCGCCTCGGAAAGCACCGAGAAGTGCAAGCACCCCTCCGGCGGACCGTCGATCGTGACGACGGCGAAATCCTCGCCGAACACAGGGTAATTATTATCCCCTGCATCGCGGAGCTTGTCGACGTACTGCGCGTGGGTGACAATCACCTTCGATTTGGAGGCGTTAAACTGCTTGAAAATCTCGTTGGCGGTGCAGAAAGGATTCGCCGTGGTGGTAACCGCGCCGATCATGGAAGCCGCCATGAAAGTGAAGACGAACTCGGCGCAGTTCTGGAGGAGCGCCATAACGACGTCGCCCTTGCCGATCCCGAGCTTCGACAAACCGGCGGCCACTCTCCGGCATAGTAGATGCGTCTCGGCGAAGGAGTACGATTTTCCGGTGCTGCCGACCAAAAGGCAAGTCCGGTCAGGATACTGCGAGAGATTCTCGAAGCAGTAGGTGTGGAGAGGCAGGTGATTCGAAATCGGGATCGTCGGTAATTTGGAGACGAACACATGAGTCTCCGATGCTTGATTCTGCTGCGGCAGAGCAGCAAGCGAAGAAGAAAGCTCTGGATTCTGAGTCGTCTCAACAGAAGCCACCGACAACATTCTTCTGCGTTGAATTAACTGATTATTCTTCTGATTTGGATTTTGAATCTGGATTTGGATTTGAATTTGGATTTGGATTTGGATTTTGCTCTGGTTTTTTGTTTTTGTTCAGAAGTAATTTGGATTGAAGAAAGAAGAGAAATAAGAAGTTTATTTGGGGAAAGAAAAAATAAATGATAAATATATCCGGGAGATTTGGGGGTAGGTAGGTAGGACTTAGGAGGAAATGGAAGTGCAACAGCCGCGGCCCGGCCCAGCCCGACCCGATCCGACTACCAGACCCGTATTTTTATTTTCAAATGATCCACACGCACACCTACTCTTCTTTGGTCAGTTGATTACTGCTTACGAATATTTTAATCTAATAATATTGATCTACAACGGTGTGTGTATATATATATAGAGAGAGAGACTAGTTGTCTGGTTGGAATAAGTATTCACACCCACCTAGCTAGCAGTACTATCTAGCTCCGTCCATGTGTGGGCTTGATATATGTATATCACTACTAGAAAATCACGATTTAGCTACGGATAATAGCATCGAACTATACATTCGTCGCTAAAATAGAGAGTTAGTGACGGAATTAGCGACATCGTACAAAATCGTTGCACTAGTTATAACACTTCACTTATAGAGACGGATGTTAGCTACGGATGATAAATTTGTTTCTAAATAAATATTTAGCGACGAAAATTAGTGATGGCCACAAATGTGTTTCTAAATATAAATATTTAGCAATAGATTTAGTGAAGGACGACATATCCGTGACTAAATAAAATATTTAGTGATGAAAGTAGCTATGACCAAATTTGATTGAAAAAGTAAATATTTAAACATTTATTTTTCTTTACTACTATAAATTATTTTTAGTACACTAATAGAAAATATTCCTTGAGCAGGGTACACTATTATATTTATATATATTTAAAATTAAATTTACAACAAAGTAATAAATAAAATATTAACCTAAAATTAATTTGAAGAACAATAACCCAAAATATCAAAAGTCTCACCCTCCGCTTCCATTTTATTATTTTTATAATCAGACTTTTCCTTCAAAAGCCGGTGGAGCCCTAATGCATACCCCATCCCACCATTTGAAAACCCAAGTCCAACGATAAAGGAAATCCTTCAATGGGTTTCACTCGATTTTTCTCAGGTTGGTCTATTTATTATTTTCTCCATTTTTATAGATTTCTATACAATGTATTTTGGAGAGGTAAGAAACCCAATTACTGTTTATGTATATATTATTGCTGCTTTTTAGGTATTGCTAGAATTACCCATTCAGATTTTTCAGTCAGGGAAGGAACGATTTATGTTGCTGCAATTCCTAATCTCAAGTTCTTCTCAATCTTATCCAGGTACAAGTTCTTTCTTCGGTTCGTTATTTAAGTTATCTATGAAAACCCTAGCATTTGCTTCTTTGCTCATTTGAGTCGTAGTTTAGATATTGAAATTACAATATATATTTGAAATCTATCCCAACTCCTGTTTGCCGGGATCCAGTTAATTTTAAGATTCTTTATTGGGCTTATGAGGTATGTTTCAGAATGTATTCTTTGAAATGTATTGTCCAATATTAATTTTTTTTTTTGTATTTGTGTGTTGGTGAATTTGATGATAGATTTGTTTTGTCTTTGTGTTTTGTTGCTAGAACAATTTGTATTCATAAATTTTATCAATACCTAGCCATCTTTATATATGCTTCCTTCCAATCTGAGTAGAAAAAAAAAATTCCAGTATCGATTCCTCTACTTACTGTAAAGGGAATTGGGTGTTGCATCTACTTTCATTAGTTAACTTTGTGTTTGTGGATAACTTGTAGTTATTATGTAACAATGATAGATACATTCAGACTTTATCAGATTTATGGTAATATAACAATAGAACTGGACATATACTCCACTAACAAGGATTGCATCAAGATGCTTATTGGGAACAAAGTTGATGTTGTTAGTCATTTTTTCCCTTGATTTCTCATCATTTTTTTTATCATTTATGTTTTTTTTATGCTTGCAAAAATAATTTCAAACAATCTGTATTTACTAATATTTTTTTTGGTTACTTATTTAACAGAAATACTGCCAATTTAGTTAATTAAACAAGTTGTCGGTAAAGATTATGTGGGGCAATATTTTGAAGAGCTTGCACAGCACTGAACAAGGACGAGTACATACTTTACTTCTAACTTGTCTTTCTGACCGTATGCCTACTTATTCCTTGCACTATGGAACAGCGAAACGGATCTAATTTTATACATGTACAATGGTAAGTCCACTTATCATTTTCCCTTTTCTTTTGAAGAGAATGGTGTAAACAGAGTAAATTTGCTTCTATTTATTGAACATTTGGATATATAAGCTAGATATTAGCCATTGAGTAGCATGATCTTTTAATATTAATGGGACTGATTTCTGATTAGTGGCTTATAATTCTTCTAGGAATCTCCTCAAACATCAAGGATTTAAAGTGTTGTAGAAATGCTGCTGACTCTATGCTACTAGAATGCTACTGGAAGGAGACTGAGGTTTGGTTCGATTTACTTATCATTTCTCAGTTTTCTTATCTTGTCTCTTTCACCACTGCTTCTCTTGGTAATTATTTTCAGCCGCAATTGCTAAGTTGTAAGTTAAATGTTTTACCTTGCTATTTATCTTCATCCAAGTTCTCTTCTTTAGATTTAAGTTAATATTTAGCTAATCATATTTTCCTTATTTTATTTTAGAAGAAAACCATAATTCAAGATGCTATCTAAGTGAGGCGCATAAAAGTCGAGCACAATTATCTGCTGGAGAGAAGGTCGGCAACTCGGCAATGCACTTACAGAATATAATTGAAGTTTTTTATTCTATGTTGCAAGCTGTCAGAAGATTATTAGTAATTAGTAGGCCATTTGTAGTGCACATTTATAAAATTGTCTGCTGACTTATTATGTATGATAATTTTATTGGTAAATATTATATAAATATTTGCATTGAGCTATTTATTTTTTTTAAAAATTAATTATTTTTTTGCAACGGATGTAGCAACGACTCTGTCTCTATCAAATATAGTGACAGGTTTAGTGACGGATTATGTATTGCTAAAATATCGACGATTGTAGTGACGGATTAGTTTGTTCCTAAAACTAGCGACGGATTTGGCAACGTTGTTGTTTTGTTACTAAAACTAGCGATGGATTTGTACCTTACGTAGCTAAATTTTAGCGACGCGGCTTTTAGCGACAAATATGGATACGAGCATTATCTGTCGCTGAAGCTATATTAGCGACGGAAGTTAGACATTTAGCAACAGATTTGGCCGTAGCTAAATCATGATTTTCTAGTAGTGTATGTATGTATGTATGTATGTATATATTATGTGTGTGCGTTGGTGAAATGCATGTTAGTTGTGCATGTTGAAGATTCAACGTGAACGCGTGTCGAAATTAAATTGAATTTTTGATATTGAGTTAGGTGGTGTTCGGCCACAACGCAGTTTATGGTGACACATGATCTAGTGTTGACGTGGTCGTCCACAGGCTTAATTAACCAGGATTTATTTATTTGAACCTCTCTCTATGTGAACTTCACCAAATAAAATTTGACCCAATCATACATTGTCAACTATTCATACATTTGTGTATATATATATATATATATATATATATATGAAAGAGAATATATTTTTTATTTCTAAATGTAGTGGGGACGAAGGGGCACGTATAACTTTAGAACTATCCACTAAGTACACATACACATGAGTATGTTATTATATGTAAATTTACGGTTTAAAATTGCACGGTGTATTGCACTGGGTGTAGGTTCTATAAAACCGGGATTATATATTGTATAGTAGAGAAAGGGCATCAAAGTTTAGACTACAGTGGTGATAATTGAATAGAATGGCAGAGAATAGAAGCAAATTTCACGTGTCCCACCATTTGAAGGTATGGTTACCCTTGGCTTTGCATTAATTTTGGTGGGGGCAATTCAAATTCAATTCAAGTAGAGACACATATACTTAAATTCATATCTCCACAAATTATAGTAAATAGCCGTTGAATTATTTTGTTGCTAATTTATGAATTCAAATGCATCATTCGATATAGTAACTGCAAAATCTAATTTTATATATAAAGGTTGATTTATTGTGTCGAGCGAGTGTTAAATATCTCTTCATGATCGTTAGCTAGACTGGGGCCGAGCAAATAATAGAGCCACCGTAGAATTCGGTCCAAGCTCACAAACAAACTCTTCCGAAGTAATTTGGGTTGCGCACTAACCCAAATGATGAGTTCGGCCCATCTTGCCAAGCTAGCCCAATCAAAATGCAACTAAGTGGTCGTTTGGTTAAATTTATTTTAAACAGATGATAAACTCCTACGCTTAACAAGCCGTTTCAAGAGTTAATAAGCTGTTAGAGTAGAATTTCGATAAACTAATAACCTCGTTTAAATAATAATTTCTTCCGATCCCGCCTCGATAAAAACAAACTAGATTATTAGTACAATAAATTAATATTTCGGACCCACATGGTAAGTGTAGCCAAACACACTCTAAAATTGATTTAAGGAATCAAGTTATTACAATCTCTTGGACCTGAGCTCTAATCGTACTATAATAACTGACTACTCTAGCATAAAATAAAGCTTTAATTGATTATATTTTCACATTTACTAATTAATAATTTTCTTTTAACTAATATGACTTAATTATCATGAGTTAACTATTAATTGCTTCATTGTTTTAAGAGATTAAATTCTGAGCGGATCATTCGATATTTAGGTGGTGTTTGCAAATGATTATTTAAAAGCAAAAGTTAGTAATTGTGAGTTAAGTCAGTTTTAAGTGCTTATTTCTAAAAGTTGGGGGTGTTTTGCAAATATTCCGGAAAATGAACTTAAATAGAAAAAACAGGGTTATGGGTGCTTTTAAAGAAATAGCTTAAAGCATATTATTTTAAGAGAAGCAAAAGCAAAAGTTGATTTCGCAAACATGTGAAAAAGATTATGAGCGAAAAAAAGCTCATAATCACTTTCAAAAAGCTTTTGCAAACAACACCTTAATATAAATCGGATTCCACCAATTTTTTGACATGTGACACTCTTAAAGTCTTAACTCTTAATAAATCACGCTATTATAATTAGGTTATAATTAGGGTTAGAGGGGTTACGGGTTATGCTGGAGTTTTTTTTTTTTTTTTTTTTTTCAATTATTAGAATCCTAATTATATTTTTATTTGAACTATCGAGGTGTCAATCATTATATGACATCCAATTTTCCTATTAAAACAGATCATCCAGTCTAAATTTGCACCCTTATTTTAATATCTAATGAATAAATTTATTTAGCATCCTCGAAATATAATGTATGGTAGCGACTAGCTAACTATAATTAACTAATTATTTTATAGTTCCTTAAATAAGAATTATAAAATAACAAAATATATTTATAAATTAATTTTTATACTATTTGATTACACAAGTTGCATTAACGCCATAATTTGATTTAAAACTTAAAACTCAAAAAACTTTTTGGGCAAATACGCAATTTATCAAAACTATAGTAGACATGATCACATCCACAGTTTCACCAACGCCAACGTAAAGAGTGTTGTCACAATAACCCCTGCACCGCCCATCTCACGGCGGCAGCCGGATTTAACTGGCACACGATTCGACGGTACCGGCGGAGCCACGTCAGATCCTCCGACCGGTGGATCCGCCGGTGGAGTGGTGCCGTTAGAACAAGTAACTGCCGGTGGCTGAGTAACCGTAACACGTTGCGGTTGCGGTTGCACCACTCCATCTATTCCATGGCACCGTATCGAATATCCACCGGTGCATATATTAGGGCTAATTATTCGAACATTGTTGAGGTAAATCCGCCGCCTCCCTTCGTTAGTGACGTTAAACATGAACCCGGCCTTCGACGCCGGGATCATGGATCCAGTCGGGAAGTGCTCAAGGTGGTCGATGAGAAGAGCCGTCGGGATCGAGTGGCGGAGCAGGAAATCGACCACCGTCGTCTCGGAAACGTCGGTGATGTTCGACAGCGCCCGGTCGTTGGGCATCAGGAAAGTGACGTCGTTTGGGATCGTGTTGGAAGGGGCGGCCATTTTCACGAGCATCACGAAGGTGAAGTAGTTGGCTTTCTGCATCTCTTGAGTGGCCGCGACGATGTCTTGACTTGTCGGATTTGCGGCGGTGGCGGCGGAAGACGAGACCAGAACCGCCGTTAGAACAACAATTAACAAAGACATGGTGAGAAAATTACTAACAGTTTGATTCAAGCCTGCAGGTTTTTTTTTTGCTGGTAATGAAGAAAATAAGTGAATTTGATGTTAGCTTGAACATACATTCTTGATGTTACAACAACTAATACTCATTCTTTTTGCATGCAATTTGAACTTTAATTGTTCGAAAAAAAAGAGGGTAAATAGCATTTAGACCCCCGTTGTTTGAATTTTGTGCACATGACCCCTTGTACTTTCAGAAAAAATCTCTTCCTATTAAGTGAGCATGATTATTTACCAAATGGAATATTATCGGGAGTTATGTGCTTTTATATTAAAGTATAAGGGGTCATGTACACAAAGTTCAAACTACAAGGGTGTCGTGTGCGTATATTGAAAGCATGAGGGTACATGTGCACAAAACTCAAACCATATATATGGGTTTAACTGCTATTTACCCAAAAAAAATGATAAAACACTTTCTTCATTTCATAAAAAGAATGGGAGAAGATACCTAAATCAAAACAAGAAAAAGAATAAATAAATTACATGGAAAAGAATAAATTACTCCATCAAGTATCATTGTGCTTCTCTTCTCTCTCTGCAATTGGCCTAAGTTGACAACAAAACAAATTATGGTGTGGACTGTGGTGTATACAAAAAAATAAAAATAAATAAAAAATGTATTCACTAAGGAAACTGAAAGGAACCGCCAATCTGGTTAGTTCCCGCCGGCGGATTTATGGCCACCCAAAGAAGAGAAATAATAATGGCAATAAGTCCGGACCAAACAAACACAATAGTAGGTGTTTTTCCTCTTCTTCCCATAAGCCCTTTAGCAAAGGGGTAGAGATGTGCAAGCACCCAAAAGCTAAAGAACACCCCTCCCAATAGGCGGCTCCACTGCGGTATTACGCTATATATCGTCCGACTGAGGCCGACAGCTATCGCGATCAAGTTCACCATTATGATCACAATCGGCGGTATCATAAGCGACGTCCACTTCACCACGTAGAGTTCCGCAAACTCGTCATCGTCGTCGTCCCCGCTCGATTTCGATGTTAAAGTGAACGAGATTTCGACGCCGGCCACCACTTTGAGTAGTCCTTGGAAAACGGCAGCCAAATGCGCGCTCGTCCCTCCGATCAACCAAAACTGCTCGTTCCTCCACCATTCTTCGAGCTCGATTCCCGACCATTTAACCTCGAGCACGGCTAATCCACAGAGGGTTATGGTGATTATCAGAAGGTACACCAAGAAAGTTACGTTGAGTGTTTGGACGATGAATTGCCCCGAGAAGAGAGACAATGCGGGTAGAAAACAATACACGATCAGGAAAATCGAAGTGAAGGGGTATATTCCGACGTTGAGGTACGCGAGCCTCTGTAAGACCTTCATCCTCGGGCTCGCTAGCAAGGCGTTGTTACGTGAGAAGAATATCTCCACGGATCCCGTGGCCCACCGGAGGACCTGGTGGAGCCGATCGGTGAGATTGATGGGGGCAGTCCCACGGAACGCGTCACGTTTGGTGACGCAATAAACCGATTTCCAACCCCTGTTGTGCATCCGGTACCCCGTGACGACGTCTTCGGTGACCGAGCCGTAAATCCACCCGACACGCTGGCCCCACTCGGTTTTATCCTCGTACCAGCATGAGATCACGCTTATCGCTTCCGCGACAGTGGAAGCATCCAAAAGGTCACGGGTTATGGTGAGGGCCCCGGGGGGCCGCCCGTTCTTGACCGACGGGTGGTCGGCCAACGGGCGGCCTTGAAACTCCGCCACCGGGATGGAGTCAATGAGTAGATTCGAGTTTCCAAACATTTTCGGAGAGAGCGATAGAGTCATCAAATCCTCATCGTCCGAATCACCCATTCGCAGGGCTCGATTTTCCTCTGACGCATTGGTGATTGCGTTGTGCTTCTTCCGACGGCCAAAGCAGAAGCTCCGGCTGTGCTCCTTCGCACGGGGCGGGTCGAACCCGTATAGTGCGATCCGTCGGAACAGACAGCCCGTTCCGACGTAAACGGGGCCCTGGAGCCCGTCTAGGGCCCGCATGTTCCCGTCGAAGAAGACGGTGTTCCGATTGGCGTACCGATCGGATGGGTCGATGCCCTCAAATCGCTGAGGGAACTGGACGTAGCAGATTCTGTCTCCCCCTCGGTCCATCATGAAGCACATTCCTTCCCTCATGGCTTGGGAGTTGTAGATGTAGTGGTCGCAATCGAGATTGAGGATGAAAGGGCCGTTGGACATGATCGCGGACGCTCGAACGAGTGCGTTCATCGCACCGGCTTTCTTGTTGTGGTCGTATCCAGGCCGCTTCTCTCGAGAAACGTAGACGAGCATTGGCAAACGAATATCGACATTACTCAAATCTATCAATCTGTACTCCTCGCCTATCCCGCAGAGTGGTTTGTCACTCGGAGGCTTCAACATCACCTACACGATGACAAAACACATTTTTGCTAAAACACTATATAATAATATCTCATAAACAAAAAAATCTTCCGATTTCGTTTTTTCTTTTCTCTTCGACAAAACGATTTTCGATCGACTCGCGTTTTAATGTGTTTGATACCTGTATGATGCCAGCATGGTCACCCTTTGTGTGAGAAGCTGAAGGTGTCATCCAAGTACCGGGCCAATGAGTACCATCTGCCATCCACGTGGCTTTATTAATCTTGATAACCTCGATTGGATCGTCTTCTTTCTTCATCCTCTGCTCCTTCATCGCTTTAATCTCTTCCCGAGCATTATACGCATCCGATCTTCGGCGAATGGAATCCGGAAGCCCGTTTATCCGAACCTTAAACTCGTCATACTCCCTCTTCACTCTCCTCCGGTCCTTGACAAAGTCGCTAAGAACCTTGTTCTTGTAAGGATCCTTCTTCAGACTGAAATAAGAATCGGGATTCCTCGGCTCAATGTTGTGCTTGCGGCAGAACGGGACCCACATGTTCGCGAAGCTAGCGGCCTCCGCCATGGCCTCGAATGTCAGCAGCGCGCCTCCGTCGTCGGAGACGTAGCACGAGAGCTTCTCCACGGGGTAATCCGCCGCCAGTATGGACAGTATGGTGTTTGCGGTGACTAGCGGCGGCTCCTTCTCGGGGTCGGCGGTAGAGACGAAGATGTCGATCCCGGGGAGGTCAGATATTCCGGTGGGGTTGCTCGGACTGCGCGACTCGAATTTCTCCCTGAGGACGTTGAGGTCGGTGGCTCGGTTCACAGGGTTGAGCTTCGGGAGTTGATCGAGGATCCACGAGAATGTGAACCATATTTCGCAAACTATCGACATCCCCCATAGCCACACGGCGTCGGTGTTGGGATGTTGCACTCTCCACGTCAAGAATAAACCGAGGACAACCATTCGGACAGCGATCAAGAGCCTGCAAAAAACATCGATAAGTGCCGCATATAGATATTATCAAAAACATTCGGACTGATGCATATCCGTCTCACCCGACATTCAATCTAGCTGATTCAAGGTCGATTAAAAAATAAAACAATCCAAAGGACTATCATTTTGGTGTTTTACCAAATTCAAATAAAAAATGAGAAGTTCAAAATCACATTTGAAGTCCAAACAACACTAATAAAATTGAAACAATATTTAGCACCTATATATAACATAATCGAAAAAAAAAAAAAACGAAATAGGCTAAAGAAGACGAATGTATATATACCGATACGGGCTGATGATGGCGGCGGGAATCTGCAACTTGCGAGTGAGCGGCCGCCAAGGTTTGGTCATCAACTCGTTCGGCTCCGCCACGTCATCATCGTCGTGGCCCCCATTTCCGAATCCGTTCTCCTTGGGCCAAATGGCATTGCCGTATCCGTAAGTCCCCTTAGTCTCGAAAAGCCAACGGTTGTGATCGAAATCGCCCGTTTGGCTCCTCACCAGCATCGACTTTGTTGACTTCATCAAAGACAACCTCCTCTCCATCTTCGAACCCCCCGAAGACGGGGGCGGCGGGAGCTGCGGGAGGGCCCGCCAGCTCTCCATGGCCTCGTTCAAATCCGTCGTCTTGTATTGCTCTTTGCAACCAGGGCAGATTCCGTTGCCGGTTTTTAACACGTCAATGTAACATTCTCGGCAGATCTTGAAATCGCACTCGCACGGGAGGGTATCGATCATCGCCTTGCTGTCGCATCCGTTGACGGAGCACGACGAGGCCTTGGCGGCGGCGGCGCCCATTAGGGGGTGGTGGGAATTGGCGTCGGAGGAGGAGGAGTCGATGACTTTGTCCATGAGGTGGGCGCGGGTGATGCTGTTGAAGCCGCCGGTGAAGAGGGAGTTGGAGACGAACTGCTCCTCCACTTTTTGGGCGGCGCCGGGGTTGTTGTTACCGTTGTTGTTGGGCTGGTTGTCCGGTGTGGGCGGCATCTGGACGGTGTAGTTGAGGAAGTCGTTGCTGCCGAGTTCGCTGTCCAGGTCGTCGCGTGAGTAGCTGACGTAACGGCCGGAGGAAGTCCGGCGGGCGAAGGTGACGCGGTTCTGCGGCGGCGGAGGCAGCGGCGGCTTGCCGTTCTGCGAGTCCATCATGTCGGAGTCTGTGCTTGATAGATCCGATCTGCTCACCCGGAATGACCTCGACGCCATCTTTTCCGACGATTCTAACCCTGCAGAGAGGGAAGACGTACGACACCGTTTAGGAGTTGAACCGGCGGGCTGATCGATCACCTTTTAATTTTTCCCTCTGTATTTGAAAATGAATCATGAATGCGTGTGCGTGTATATAGTTGACAGGCGGCCTTTTGCTGTACAAATATATTTATTTACTGTGACTGAATTACAGAGTATTTATTCAGTCAAAACCAATTCGGACAAAGATTCTTCTCTACCGACTTTCCTTTTTTTCTATTTCTATCATTGTTCGCCTATTATTAATTTTTTTTTATTTTATTTGTGCAACTATCGCATCTATATTACTCCCTCTGTTCCGTAATATATGTCTCTTTTGAGAATTTATTTTGTTCAATATTATCTGTTACTTTACAATTCCAATACTGCATTAATTGCTTATTTTTCAATCTTACCCTTATTAATTCTGCAGCACTCTTCCAGCATTAATTAATAAACAAGGATATTTTGGTCCATCAATATATACTTTCCTAAAATCAAGACATATTTATTGAGATTCTTAAGATTTGTGGCAAGGTGAAAAAACGACACCTATTTAGGAACGGAGGGAGTAAGTCATTTTTGGTGGTGGTAAAAACTAAAAACTAATTAAATTATTAGATTTTATTTGATTTTGGTTAGTCCAATTTCTTTTCAGACTTTCTACATTTTCGATTAAATTCATTTTTTATGCTGATTTATTGTAAAATTGTTTACTAAAATTATGTAGTCCTTTTTTGGAATTCTTATAAGATATCATATTCTTATCTTAACATCCAAAAATAACTAGATTAGGCCTCGTTTGTTTGTGGAGATTAGCCATTATTAATTAAATAATTAGACTTTAAAGTTTCGTATCCCAATAACTCATCGAGTTGACTCGTAAATATTATGTTATTATAACTTAGCCTTATATTGTTTTTCTGAAACTTTTTTTTGTTGAACGTAGCGAGGTCCAATAAAATTAAAGAATTTTCATTAGATTAATAATCTTATCTCATCAACCAATACCTTAATGAAATTGGAGTTTTTTACTATTAAAAAAGATCTACATTCACTAATTGAGAAAAACATTAAATGGGTCAACATGGCAATTTTCTAGTGTTCATCGTAGAAACTAGAAACACATCGACTAAGCAATAATTACAAGGTTGTTATATAATGGATGGCACGTCCAATTTTTTAATTTATTATTTTTTTTTGTCACCAAACGCATCAACATAGATACATATACTTAGTTCATCCCTTGTTAAGAATTAGGAACCCAAATTTATATAGTTGTTAATAAGAAATACATGCTCCTTACTTGTTATCCACACATTGAACCCTATAAACAATTAACAATTTCCATACACGTCCCACTAATGATTGATATTATTCACTATGTATTTCACTTTTTTTTTTTTTTTAATATTCTTTGTTATGAGATGGTTTTGTAGGATGATACAAACAACGATGAAATACGTCGGATGATCCTGCACTATTGATCTACATAAGGGTGTGAACGAGTCGAGCTCGCCTTTTTTGGCAGGTTCGAGCTTGAGCTCGATCTATTTGTCGAGCTCGAGTCCAAGCTCATTTTGTTAATATTTTTTTTAATTATTATTAACAATTAATTAAAAAATTACAAAATAAATAAAAATAATATATATATATATATATATATATATTATTTTTATTTATTTTTATAATATTTTATATTATTACTACATTATTTAAATAAAAAATAATAATAAATAATAAATAAGGCTCGCGAGCCGACTCGTGAGCTCATGAACAATTAAAAACTGGCTCGAGCTCGGCTCGTCAGAAAGCTCGAGCTCGAAAAACTCGAGTTCGAAAAGCTCGAGTTCGAGTTTTTTCGAGCCGACTCATCGAGCTCACGAGTCGGCTCGACTCGTTTACCACCCCTAGATCTACACATAATAGCACACAAACTCATGTTTATGTATGTGCTTAGTGGGTAGTTATTCGTATAGAGATATGATGCAAAATTATCCAGTGTTTTTCACCGAATGTAGCATCTGATAGACCATTATGGAATCTAAAAAAAATTAAATAAAAAACAATGTTGAGGGCCTAATTAATTTATCAGCTACATAAAGTTGTCACATTGAAAAGCCTGACCACAAAAGACAGAAAAAAAAAATGAAAAGCCCAAAATTGATCTAAAATTATGAGAAATAATGGAAAAAAAATAATCCGACCTACCGGATTCGAACCAGTGACCTAAGGATTAAGCTGCAACCAAACTACAGTCCTCCGCTCTACCAACTGAGCTAAGGTCGGATCGTGTCAGTAAACAATCTTAAACTGATAATATACCATAGCTACAAAAGCAAACTAATCATCATTTTTAATAATAAAAATTGCCTTAATAGTTTTAATTTTTCATCTTATTAGATATATAAATAAATATTGAAGTTTCCATAATGTAAAACGATAATAATTCGTAAAAGGTTAGTATTCGAGTTCGACTCGAGCCCGTTCGTCTAACAATATTTCAAGAATCATGTTTTTATAAGGACTACAAGACTCGACCCATTAAAACACATGTACCCAAATCTAAATTTAAATAGACTAAAAGTTCGGCCCATTTAAAATAAGCCCAATCCACAACAGATCTCAAACCTCTATAAACCATATATTAAAAAAAAAAAAAAAAAAAGAAAAATACCAAAAAAAAAAAAAAAAAAGAAAAAAAAAAAGCCAGTAGAAGGGTGACAAAATTCACGTTACATGGCATGAAACAACGTACACGTCACACACAATGCAGGAACAAGACTCCTTTCCCCAACTCAACTCAATCGAAACCTTAAATTAATCCTACTCCTACTACAATTTCTTCTTCTCTTATTTATATATAAAACTCCAACCAAATTGTTTCACGCTCTGTGATCATATTAATTTTTCTACTATAACTTATAAAACACTAATTAATTGTCAAATATATATTATCAAAAAATATGAGCTTTCAGGATCTGGAGTCGGGTCGGCGACCCATGTGTATACACCAAATTGACCACCGGGATCCTTCTCGCCCAGTTGCCGCCGGCGTGTTTAAGATTAACACCGCCGTCTCAGCCTACAAACGCCTTGTCTCCACCATCGGAACTCCCAAAGACACCCCCGAACTCCGCCGCAAACTGTCAGTTTAATTAAACTCATCTTTCTTTCTTTTTGTGTTTTTTATATTATTAATTATTCCGGTCGGAGGATTTTTGCGCTTAATTAAGACTTTTATTCTGTGTTCGAAACAAATTAATAAAAATATACATACAGTATAATCTCGATACAATAAGACTCCACAAAAGAATAACTTCATTTAAATAATAATTTCTTTCAGGTACCTACTCGGTTCAATAATTTGATATTTCGCTAAATTACTAAAATTTTGCTAGTCCGACTCTATTAATTTATAGAGGTTTAACTATATACACGTATACGAATATGCTAATGCAACAGCGTTGTTGTTGAAGGGTAATGTCCGTAATTAATTTGATTTTTCTATTAATTTTTTTGTTTGAAATAATGTTATGTATTAATTATGTGTGCAGGCGTAAAACAAGGTTAGAGATCGGGCAAACGGTGAACGAGACTTCAGCTGCGCTCGATCTTCTTAGAGAAACCGACAAGTCTCCTCGAGTTGATGTAAGTACATATTTGCGACACCGTTGATTTACACACAATCAATCACACACATATGCTGTGTGTAAAAATATGTACTGTACGTGTACAATGTACAACAGTAGCATATAATATAATATCCGATGAAGCTAAACGAGTGTGGAATAGAACAAACCTGGATTCATTATACGTGCTAATTAATTAATTAATTTAATTACTCAAATCCGATGCGGGATATATTATATATTGGTTAAATTGATAATCAATGTTAAATTATTTTCAGGCAAGAAAGAAAATCGGTCATGCGAAGCTTACGAAAGATTACGAAGCGGTGTTGAAAGAATTTGAAAAGGCACAGGTGCTTGAAGCAGAGAGGGACACTAATTTTGCTGCACATCCTCCTCTTGTTACCAATATTACTCTCCAGCCCGGGTATTTATTTAATTTATTTATTATTATTATTATTTTTTTATATAGAATAATCGAATAGAGAAGTTAAGCTGTTTACGTAAAATTCATAGTCTAGTAGTGCTAGATAATTCAAATTTATTTCAAACTAAAGCATTTGGAAGATCGACTGCATTTGTTATTGAGCGTCTATATTTACTCGTACAAAAAATATCGTTTTTGTTTTTGTTGGAGTATATTGTTTCTTACTCCTGCTAATTTCATGCAGCAGTAATACAGCTGGCGAGACGGGGATTAAAATTTCATTGAACGGCAACAGTACATCTCTGTTTATCGACTCCAACAGGTAAATAATTAAGCCAATATAATTTGAAGAATATAGTTTGTGAATATACAAGTACAATGAAATTATCGATGCGTATTGAACTCATTTGATTCGATCAATTTGCAGATCACAGGCGGTCATACAATTGGAAAACGAGATAAATTTGAACGAAGCGATAATCGAGGAAAGGGAAGAAGGCATTAGAGAAGTTCAACAGCAAATTGACGAGGTCAACGAAATTTTCAGGGATTTAGCTCTGCTCGTCAGAGAACAAGGCGCTTTAATAGGTTCGTGACTATACCGTTTTACGCCCCTTCGTATTAATTATTTTTGTTTCGTTGAATTTTACAATTGGAATAATTTAATATAATATATATCGTTATTCCAGACGATGTAAGTTTGAATATCGAGCGCTCCGATGCTGCCACTACTAAAGCCACGATGCTGCCACTACTAAAGCCACTTCGCATCTCAAAGAAGCATCCAATAGCCAAAGCTCTTCTTCACCGATGGTACGTAACATTCTTTCGTAACAAGATAAATATGTTGGAATTATTTCAATAATTATGTGGGCTCACATATGTGAAGTAAATGTGTATGGCTATCTAAAAGAAAGTCCAAATTAATTGTGATCTAATAAAGATTATTGGGTTGGACTTATGGGTATTAGACTATAATTATGGGCCTAATGTGTAGAGACAATTAGGGCTTAATTGTGATTTATTGATGGGGCTGAATCACAATTATAATATAACTGGACTCTACAGTTATATAAAGGGTCGTGGTCCCCAAAGAAACGAAATCATTCCGTCTCTTCTAAAATCCATCGTTAGAGAGATAATTAAGGAACTGCGGATTCTTTGGAAGACCTGTCCCAAATCCGGTGGAGATTCGAAGATTCGATTACATGATGTAAGGTACGCTTCCGTGTTTATGTTTAGGTTTAATTCTCGTTGATTCAAGCATTTTGGTTCTTGGGAATTCGTATGTATATACGATAAATTTTCTAACAAGTGGTATCAGAGCCACCATGTATTGAATCATTGGGGATTTAGGTGTTATATGAAATATGATTTTATGGATTTGATTATGTAAATTGTTATCAAAATTTGAATCCATAATTGTGTTATGTAATCCTGAATTCAGATCTAAAAATTTTGGTCAGACATTAAATCTGAAATTAGGGTTAGTATTGTATATGTCTGATTTTTCCTCTACTTATGCGAATCCCAATCTGATATACAATTCAATTATTTGAAATTGTTCTATTGTTATTGATTGATTCCGTTTTGGATATAAGTTTTTATGGTTCAGTCAATTTTCATGAATTGAATTAAGATTGAAGAATTAAGTTTTACCGCAAAATCTGAAATTCCAATTCGCAATGGTAAATCAATGGCGGCTGATTTGGTTTTCTGGCCGAGCCATTCTTCGGCACCACCGCTGCAATAAATATCAGTCATCAATACAAGGGCGGCAATTAAGGCTTACGGTTTTGCCGGTGGCCGTTCGTAAGGCAGCGGCGGCGCAAGCTTATGGTTTCCTAAATCCGCGCCGCCGTTAGGGTTCTCACCACCTATTAGCTATTTGGTTATTAATGTTTCCGCCGCCTTAAGGTTTCCACCACCATATATATCTCAATTTCAGACAATCGTTCTTTCATCTTCGACGGCGAATAAGGAAGACTCGTGTGGCTTCGTCGTTCGCGATGTTTGATCACACGATTCGCCGGTGGTGGATTCCGCTGTGCCAGTTATTCCGTTGGTGGTGTTTTGTGGGTGATGCGGTGGCCCACGGTGGTTTTGGTAAAAGGTGATGATGGCGGGTCTGTAAAGAAGAAGCCAATTGGGTTTAATGATGAACCTTTTGGAAAATTACAAATTAAACCCCCAGTGGTTTCTGTAAATTTCAATTTGATCCCATATTTTGGTTATTCCTGATTTCGGCCTGGGGTCAATTTGTAATTAATGAACTTCTGATTAGGCCCCCCCTAATACTTACGAAAGGTGCATTTCAGTCCCTAGTTTTAAGTTTCTCTCAAAACTGTGATATATTTTCAGAAATTATATTTTCACCCTAAAAATTAAGTATTTCTGAATCTTAGGTCCCTTTTCACTCAAAGTCTTTTCTTTCAAAATTTCAATTCAATCCTTTAAGTTGATAGATTTTCTGGTTTTGGGGCAAGGGCAAGTCTTGGGGCCGTTTAAAATATTTCAATTATTTTGAGGGACCGAACTAATATGTGAATTCTTTTAAATTCATTTAAGATTTTGTTTGGTCAATACAGTGAAATTCATTTTGAATTTCAAATTCGGTTTTCTAAGGCTAATTTAGGGAATTTTCAGATGATAAAGTTTATGCCGTTTAGACTTAAATTTTTGAGTAATGGGTCAAAATTAAGGATACAAATTAACTTTTAATTAAATAAGCTTCTGATCCATTATCCTTTAATCGTTATCGAGTCAAAATATGGATAATGGTTATTATTAACCAAATAAGATTTGACTCATTCGGTGTTTGACTCGAAACCTTTGCTTTAAGTCTAAATCGAAATATTAATTTGCTTCAAATCCATATAAGGTTAGATTTATTGGTTATAATTTATTTTGGCTTCTTAATCTAAATAAGGTTGAATTGTGAGCCCCACATCATCTTTAGCTCAAATTCAAAATAAAGATGGATTTGATGTTTTCAATTTATACTCATTTTTATGAATAACCATATTACTGAGTTTGATTCGAAAACAATACAGTGAGGTTTTTTTTAGATCCTTAGCGTTCAACAACGACTTTTAATTGTTTGAGTAATTTTTTGGTACATCTAATGACTTGTTATTAAGTTTGTCTGACATTTAAAAGAACTAATTGAAGCATGATGCCACCCTACGTGACCTCTCTGTGTAGATTAGTTATTTGAGAATGTCAAGATGTTTATGTGTATGTGAATTCATGCAAATTTTAACACTACCCCTACGGTAGGTTATTACTTGGCCGAACCACATATGCAACTGTGGTAATAAACATGTGATGATTGTTTGGCTCCATGTGAATAAAAGTTACATCCCTACGATGAACTTATTATTTGACAGGATTTATTATCAATGTTTGATTACTACAACAAGAGTGTCACTTACAATTAATATTACTGTCCCTACGACTTGATATTAATGTTGTGCTAGGCATCTTGAGATGTATTCCATAATTATTTAAGATTTCAAAGTCAATCTTTGGATTATAATGTGAGCATATTGATCTTATTTGCATTCTCTATTTAATTTATTTATCTACTTACACATTGTCTGCCTATAACATTTTTGCGTTTAATTGCACGAATATTTATTAATACTATTATTATTTATTATGGTGCATAGATCTTAATTTTTTTTTATTTTGGATAGAACAACAGAAGAACCTAGAGTATATAATTGTTCTAATTATAAAATTTAAGATCATTAGGAGCATCTATTTTAAATAACTTTTGGGGGCATAAGGTTTAATTAGGGGTTGCGTACTAGAAGGTTCCTTAAAGATAGTAAGGATACGTTTTATTTTAAAACGATAAAGTTGCAGTAGATTTTGATATCTATTGTTTAAATAAGGTATAAAGAAAAGGAACATAAATAAGCACATTAAGTAATAGTCTAATCTCATTCTGAGTTATAGCACTTTAGTTAGTGTGGTTTCGCTGACTTGAAAGTGGATATGGTTTAATTTATTTTTCTCCGTGAACGGTCAATTTAAGGTTTGTTGTAAAACGTAAAGAATAAAACTTTGACCGTAAACAAGAAGAATAAATAATTAAGAGAGAAAAGACTAAGTGCTAATTTGACTAGTACACCTTAAGGTGAGTATTATAATTGCAGTTGACATCTCCGGTACGTTGAATAACGTAATTATGCTTGTTTCTCACTTTAAATTGTTCTAACATAAATTTTGACTTTGTACATAGACACATTTAGTGAATAGATCCTAGGTTACCCTATTCACGTAACTGTGTATATAAAGGGTTATTTACATAACCAATATTTAATTGATGTTGAAAGATACATCTATAAAGGCTATGTAAGATATTTGGAATTGAGGCTATGAGGATTCTTAGGTTTTCTTTTGAATTATGAAATAGACATTTGGTACCGTCATTAGATGGATTTAGATTTTCTCTTGAACAAATTCGGTTAGCTTGTTCATTTGAAAACATTAAGTTTGGTCTATTTCATAATTCAAAATTTGACCTATAATTTAAGTAAAAGTCTCATACAGTAAAATCTTGCATAAGCAATTTAAAATGGTACAAAATTCAAGAATAGAACATTCAATGACATTCAAAGAAGTATGATAAGTCATTCTTATTCGCTAAGGTACATTTAGGAGAAACATTAAGTGCTGCAATATATTATTTTTAAAAGGGGAAATTTAAAATCTTTTAAGGATGTTGAGTTTGAGGGGAGAAATTTAGATTATAGACATTGTCTTTAAAGATGAATCAATTCGATTCCTAATACTGCTTTTGACAATGTACATGTCTTTATACTTGTCATTGTTTGAAAAGTAGATTTGGAGATTTGATAAGATAATGTTGAACAATTCCCCAATCAAGTCTTGATAATTGTTACTTAAAGAGCAAACTCAACAACCTTAAAATGATAAAGCATTAAAGATGTGTTGAAATTTAGAATGACAAGACATTAAGATCTTATCAAATTGCCATAAGGTGTGAATTTGGTTACAAATAATTGAGACCAAATGTAATTCAAATGAGCAATATTGAAAGATATATGGTACGTTTAGTCATTAAATATTTCACTCATATCGACTCTATTAAGAGATTTATGGACACAAGGAATATGTTTCTCAGATAGTAATATTTTTGGAACAATAAAGTGCAACCATAAAATTTTAAAGATTTGAAGGATATTGATTGCAAACTAAAGTAGTCCATTAATGAAATTTAAAATTCCCGTTAATGATGTTACAATCATAAGCTAATTATCTCGTATGTACTTTGAGATGAATAAAATTAATGATTGTACATACCCAAGGATCAGTGGGAGATAATCTCACAACAAAGGAGACTTGTTTAGTCTCATTTCAATGCCCAATAAATATTTGAAATAAAAGAATGTACGCATTCGGTTAAGGTGTGCATAAAGTTAGGCAGATATTTGAATAACCCTATAAAGTGGATCATTTAGCAAAGCAGCCAAATGGGTTATACAGTAATTACAGGGAATGTAAGTTATATACATATGCTCATTTATCAAAATCATATATTTTGGGAGATCGTGTGGTTTATTCATGATTTTGATTTTTATGATGTGTATAAAGTAAAGATCCATTTTGGTTAATGTAGACCTAAGTGATTGAGCTATTTCGACATGGGTGTTAAGCAAACACTTTAAGCTCTCTTCACGATGGTTAAGAATTTATGGTAATTTTTTTTGGCATCTTATTTTGAATATAGCTAGAAACACTTCTCATTAGGCTGCACATGTTGATTTGTATTAAAGTTATACGGTGACAATATTTAACAGCTATACTTTCGAACAACAACTAGAACTTGTGAAAGTTCTTTGTTGTTAAAGGTACAAAGTGAACAGTACATAGAGCATATTAAGATAAACTCCACAATTGCGGATCCGCTTACTAAAGGATTAACACATGAGGTATTCATGAGCATTGCTCATGTAGGTGTTATATCATTTATGGATATTTTGGTTCAGTGGGAGTTTGTATGTATGTGTACATATAAATACATTTTTGGTAGCTCTATGATATGTTTGGACACAATTTTGTGTATTGGTTTTCTGCAGAAATAAAGCATTTGGCTACACTTTGTACAATTATGTAAATGTTTGGTCTCAATAAAGTTTAAAGTAGGACCAGTTGGAAATAGGCATGTTAAGATCACATTAGTATGTAATTTCCATGCTACACACCATGATTTGATCTATGTCGTTTGGCTATATTGGTATATGTGATTACTGTTGGGTTTAGACACGATCAATGTGACGAAAGCCTCTTTAGTCCTATATTAGTATGGTCAATGGACGAGATTGTAAGGAATACCTTTTTTTTTATATGATAGCAATATTTGAGCTCATAAGGTATACACATTTATAAGATATATAGCATATGTGGCCCAAGTGGGAGATTGTTGGAATTATTTCAATAATTATGTGGGCTCACATATGTGAAGTAAATGTGTATGGCTATCTAAAAGAAAGTCCAAATTAATTGTGATCTAATAAAGATTATTGGGTTGGACTTATGGGTATTAGACTATAATTATGGGCCTAATGTGTAGAGACAATTAGGGCTTAATTGTGATTTATTGATGGGGCTGAATCACAATTATAATATAACTGGACTCTACAGTTATATAAAGGGTCGTGGTCCCCAAAGAAACGAAATCATTCCGTCTCTTCTAAAATCCATCGTTAGAGAGATAATTAAGGAACTGCGGATTCTTTGGAAGACCTGTCCCAAATCCGGTGGAGATTCGAAGATTCGATTACATGATGTAAGGTACGCTTCCGTGTTTATGTTTAGGTTTAATTCTCGTTGATTCAAGCATTTTGGTTCTTGGGAATTCGTATGTATATACGATAAATTTTCTAACAAAATAGACATACATATATATTTCTATTTATTTATTTATTGAAAATACTATCGACTTCGTGCGCAAGTGAATGATATATGCTTAATCATATGTTGCGTAGGATTGGAGAAAGAACAAAAACAAAACGAATTTGATTTTGAAATTGTTTTTTAAGTTTTTTTTTCTTACTTGCAGACCTGTTTGATGCTGATTATGGTCGTGATCATTCTGCTTATAGTATTTTTCGTGGCAAATTAAAGACGTACGCTAGGTTTCGGTAAAGGAAACTCGATCTGAAGGGATATAGTTATTTTGATCCGTTGAGTTCGTTGATCATTGTTCGACAGGGTACGGTTTTGTTAATAAGTCGTTTTTTTTTTCTTCTGTTGATTAGTCATATAAGGTAAGATTAAATAATTTACAAATCCTTATGATATTGGTAATTACAAATACACCCCTAATACTAACAAACCATTATAAATGCTAATGGAATAAATGAATCGTCCAAATCACTCTTTTATTAAACAAACTAGCATTTTTTCCCCGTGCGATGCATGGTATATTATTTAAAAATTGAAAAAAATAATCAATTTAATACATAATAAGAAAATATAATACACACTAAAATTTAATAATGTAGTATTATTCATATTATATATAATATTAATTTTTTAAATATTGCAGATTAATATTTATAATTCAATATATAGATTAAGATTTAACGAATCGAATTTCTATCTTTATTTCTTAAGATTTGAAATATATTGATGAAAAATAGGTGATTGATAATTGTTGAAAATTATAGTAAAAAATTAGTAGAAAAAAATATTAAAAATAAATAATTACAGAAACCCCATTAAAATTTTTTAGGGTTGCCCAGAGTTTCTTTCTTTTATACATATGATAAACTATGAGTAAATTAAGCATACAACATGAGGTAAGAGGAATATTACAGTTACACCGTTGTAGGTATACTTATGTTACATTTATCTCCTGGGGGTAGATTTGGGAATTCAGTACGAATATTTTCATGTTGGCTTCAAGATTTCGTTACTCTTTTTTTTTTGATAATTGAAGATTTCGTTACTCGTAACATCATAATGATGTAATTGTTAGACGGATAAATTGCTCTGGCGTTATTTGAAACATAAAAGTCACTACAATACATTTGTCACTAATTAATTCTGAATTAATTGTTTTTTTAAATGAATCAACGGTGACAATAGACGGCAAAATTGAAAAAAAATGCAAGTAATACATAATTGAATTATAGAATAAAATAATAAAAAAAAAATTCTCTAAAAGGACAAATATTTTTCCGATAAGAATCTAAAGGTGAGTATTCATTCAGTGCCACCATTATTGGTGTTGTTGTTCAACAAAGTCAGATCAGAAATCAGAATCCTCCGCCTAACTAATAATTAACTCCTATTAATACCAATAATAGCATTAATAAGCCCGGCAATTAGTAATTGGCATCTCCTCCACCAACCACCGCCGCCGCGAGTGAGGAAAATGTTTGGAACAGTGTCGTCGGAGAGGGAGGTTAAGGTACCAGGAAGTGAAGCGTGGAAGCTGTACAGTACCCTCGAACTCGCCAAAATCGTCGCCGAAGCCCTTCCCAGTCTAATCAGCAAAATCGACGTCGTACAAGGCGACGGCGGCGCCGGAACCATCCTCGAGCTCTTTTTTCCTCCAGGTACCACCTGCTATTAAACCAACTCTTTCTCTCTCTACATTTCTCTCTCTCATCGGGAAAAAAATTAAGTCGCCCGTCAAATTCAAATCGTCTCTGCTCAATCCAAGCCAATGTTGAAATAATAAACTAGATTAAGTGTATTAAGGAATATTCTAGAAGGTTAATTCATTAATTAGCTTATTCATGTATTTGGTTTTAATTAAAGTTCATGTACTAGTTAGAGGGGAAGAATTAAATTAAATAGTGATACATGTACTAGACTAGATTCATGTTGGGAAAATCCTATAAATACCACATGAACTCTAGCCATTTGTAACAAGTCTCCTCCTCCACTTCTCGTGTGTGTGTATGTGAGTGTTGAGTGAATGTGATCTCCATTTTCCAACAGCCAAATGTTCCTAAAAAGCACAATTAATTGATTGATTTGATTAAATAGTTAAATGATCTGCAAATGATGGAAACAGGTGGGGCGGGGCTAACGTCGTACAAGGAGAAGTTCACGGTGGTGGATGATGAGAAACGGGTGAAGGAGACGGAGGTGGTGGAGGGCGGGTTTCTGGATCTAGGGTTTACACTTTACCGGGTCCGGTTCGAGGTTGTAGAGAAGGCGGCGGCGGCGGAGGAGTGCATCACGAGAGCGACGGTGGAGTATGAGGTGAGAGAAGAATGTATTGCTAATGCCGCCTTTGTTTCCATTCAACCCCTCGTCAGTGTTATGGAATGTGCGGCCCGTTATTTGACCAAGACCAGTAGCTGAGGCCCGGCCCGACCCGACCCGACCCGACCCGACCCAGAATTTTTCATAGCTCTATGCAGCATTTCATTTCAAAATCTAATTTTCTTTTTTCAAGTTATTGCTACTACTACGCCAATGTCAGTTTGGATTATATAGCTTTGGTTCAATTTCTGATTATGTGTTTCAAAAAATAAAACGGTCAACATTTCGGGACTAGCAAAATTCTATTAACTTAGCAAAATATTAAATTAACGAACTAATAATTTAATATGTTTACACCGGAAAAAAACAAAATTTAATTTAGCGAGTTTATAACGTTTTTTTTTCTCCATAAATATCACAACATGTTCCAAAATTTGGTCCCCTCTGATAATATGAGGCAGAGGAGGGATATCTTTACCTCGTATTCGCTGCCATCACTAGTTTCGGGATAACATAACGCCAAGTTCTGCGTATAAATAGCTACAATCACTCATATATATAAGTAGCATCTTCCACCACCACCACTACCACCATCGCCGCGTGCAGAAGTGAAAAGAAAAAGGGGGAAAGATGTTTGGAACAGTGTCGTCGGAGAGGGAGGTGAAGGTACCTGCAAGTGAAGCGTGGAAGGTATACGGTACCCTCGAACTCTCCAGCATGGTCGGCCGAACACTCCCCAGCCAGGTCAGCAAAATCGACGTCGTACAAGGCGACGGCACCGTCGGAACCGTGCTCGAGGTCTTTTTTCCTCCGGGTACAATACAACTCTTTAGACGACACTCGATTTCAATTTTTTTTTTACTCGATAAACTAAATGCCAAAAAAATGTCGGTGGAAGTGAAATAACTAAACCTGTTTTTTGGGAAATGACGTACGGAAAACAGGGAAGCCGGGGCCTAGGTCGTACAAGGAGAAGTTCACGGTGGTGGATGATGAGAAACGGGTGAAGGTGGTGGAGGTGGTGGAAGGCGGGTATTTGGATTTGGGTTTTACCCTGTACCGGGTCCGGTTCGAGGTGATAGAGAAGGAGATGAAGGAGTGCGTGACGAGAACGACGATAGAGTATGAGGTGAGAGAAGAATATGCTGCTAATGCTTCTCTCGTTTCCATTCAAAACTTCGTTGCCGTTATGGAAGCTGCCGCGCTTCACTTGATCCAAAACTACGTCAATAACTAAGCCATGCTCTACGGCCCGGCCCGGCCCGACTCTACGATTAATATTTAATAAATATTTACATATATGCTACAAGTCTATTTATTCCAACGTTGTTTGATGGTTATGGTTTTGGTTCTAAGTTGTGACTCACGTGACAATGTATTTGTATTCTAGTCCTAGAATGGGGAGTCTTTCTACTTTGATTAAATAAAAGGGTAAATTGCATTTTCATCCCCGTTGTATTTTGGCCGTATTGCACATGACCTCCTTTATAGTTATAATTTGAGTGCATAACCCCTGTACGGTCTTCAATGAGTAGCGTCGGTCAAGGTTTCAGTTAAAGTCAACGGTGCGTGTGTGTAGTTATTAAGCGACGGATGTTGATCAAACTACAAAACTTTTGGAAATAACTGAAATACAAATTTTCGTTCAAGGCAAAGTATTATAAATAGATTGAGTACATCCATATGTGGACTCTGTATAAATGTATATCCAATAGAGACTCGTGCATTAAGAATGTATAGATGAATTTGTTTCTAAGTGTCGAAAAACGATTGCGTTTTGATCAAAGTTGTAAACTTTTGTGCTGTTTTTAATATATTTTTTTCTAAATCATATAGTGATATATATATATATATATATATATATATATATATATATATATATATATATATATATATAGTTAAACACTGTGAGACCTTTATTTCCGGGACCCCTTTATACCCTTTTGTGTGTATATGAATAGTACACGTCTACCCAGTATATTTCACCCGATTTTGCATAGAATAGACCCTTTGGGGTTGGGCATTGGTATTGAGTATGGTTGCCTAATTACTTTCTTTAATAACCCACCAAATATAGTTCAATATAACTTGCACCAAAAGGCGAAATCCCTCGCCCCCAGGGCCCCCATCCCTTGGCCCGACCATTTGGTCCCCTATAATTAAGCCGTAGAGCAATTGAACAACCATTTGGTCCCCTATAATTAATTGTACGAGGCGGAGGAACTAAGTTCTGCTTATAAATAGTTACAGCTAGTCATATTCCAATGAGCATCTCCACCACCGTCGCCGCCACCACCGGTCCACCGCCACCATCCAGAAGTACGAAAAAAGAAAGGGGGGAAATATGTTTGGAACAATGTGGTTGTTATGGAAGCTGCTGCTCTACACTTGATTCAAACCTACGATAACGAAAGATGAGCCCTAGTTTTACATCTAAAAATAAAACAGAACTATTTAATAAATATTTCTAATTTATAAAAATTCACAAAAATATAAATATATATATATATATATATATATATATATATATATATATATATATATATATATATATATATATATATATATATATATATATATATATATATATATATATATATATATATATATATATATATATATATATATATATATATATATATATATATATATATATATATATATATATATATATATATATATATATATATATATATATATCTATATATATATATAATATATATATATATATCTATATATATCTATATATGTCTATCTCTATATATATATATACATGC